GGCCTCTCTCTCTGAGGCCTCTGTGGCTCATCTCCTCTACTGTATAAGCTAATACTTTAAGCTATAATCTGATACATTCTTTAACGCTCGTTGTACATTATGACTAATTAAATCTCATCTTTTCTTTTCTTTTGTCCATATGTTCTAGGATCTTAAGAAATACTTCGTCTGGTGGGTATTTCATTTTCTTCTTTCTTTTGGGGGTAGGCTCCGCCCTGCCTTCGTCTTCGGCAGGAATAGCTGGAATCTACAATGTCTGATTCAAGCTACGGATGGGGCCTACGCCAAAATAATTCTGTTCTTTATATTGGTTTTGTAAATAAATACTTTGGAGTTCTATGTTCACCTCCTGAGTCTTTCTGGTAGAACTGAAGAAAACAAGCAAATCTCTGTCTCTTTCAGTGCACTTTTTTATCTCTCTTTCGTCTCTCTTTAATCTCCAGGTGTTACTGTCTCACCTGTTGAGCTCTGTGTGTGTGTGTGTGTGTGTGTGTGTGTGTGACTCACCGTTAGCATTGGTGACCAGTGGCAGAAAAGAGCCACGTTTACCGTAAAATAATGAGACACAAATAGAGGCGCTCAGCTGCTTAACCAGGTGACCATTAAACACTCTGACTCACAAAACACACTCACTCACACACACAGCTGCTTTCTCACCTCAAACACGCCTCCATCAGAGGAAACAATAGGCAAGTATTCCTGTAACTCAACCAAGGCACTAGCAATGCTGAATACAATAAGTCGCTTTGGATAAAAGCATCTGCCAAATGCATAAATATAATGTAAAATGTAACAATCAGCCTCTTTTGATGAGTTTCACTCACATATTCACTCTGAAAAATTAAGTTCTTTGTCTGCAAAGTCAGTTGTAAAAATAAAAATAAATGAAAATAAAATAATCATTCCATAAAATGTATTAAGAAAATTTCATGCCGACTTTAAACAAGCATTAAACCAGCGTCCCAAACAATCACAACAGCCTTAAAACACAATGTGAAGATGTGTGAGCCTCAGTAAACACATTCACAAAAGTTTCTGTTTCATATAATATTCGGTCTCAGCAGCATCATATGAAAACTGTCAGCTGAAGATGCCATTAGATCAGAAATACTCATCTGAAGAGAATAAAGCAGCACAGAGAACCAGAAACCACACAATCTCTAGAGTTACACAGGGATGATATTTTTACACACAGTCATTTTAAAACAGTGTCTGATTGTCAGCAAAATGAAACAGCGCCACGGGACACACAAATCGGATCAGAACACTTACTATGCACAGTGTGGACAGTCCAATCGGACACACACATTCCTAATCATATTTATACTGACAGTCTGAACAAGGCACTAGTGTAGAGATTTGCAGAAAATATTGAGCAAATTGGATCATGTGTGAAAACAGGTGAAATGTGTTTACATTTTTGAGAAATGTGTCTTTGTTTCGAGAACTGAATAAATGGTTTGGGAAATTGGTCCAAATGAATCAGTTAAAGTGTGTTAACAATCGAGAAAAACTGTAACACAAATTATTAACAAGTTGTAACCTAAAAAGAAAAAATAATTCTGAGGATAACAGCTAAATGTATGACAATAAAAACAACGGTTCGTGACGCTGGAAGACAGAAGAACACAAAACGCTGAAAAGTGCTGGAGCTTCATAAGGAGAATAATGTAAATTAATTATTGACTCTGTGTGATCATTTGAACTAAAAAAAGTAATTTTGATAGTAATAATAAAAATTATGACACTAAAATAAAAGTAAAATACTGATTTCCATCAACACACACAGAGAAAAGCACAGAAACACATAGTCACTGAATCACACACACACACACACACACACACAGATTTTACTGTCTATCCACCTTTTTCTTGCCGTAAATTCTATGGGTCTAGCTTCCGGTCTCATCCGCGTCCAGCTATTTTTAGCTGTATAAAACAGTTAATTTTGCGGCTTGATATTGAAAGTTGGTGTGTCTTTGCATATTATTTTAATGTATTATCTTAATTATTAACACACTGGTTTGTAGTGCAAACAGTTTTACCGTTTACTGCACGTTGTTATTCTTGTCGTTATTTATAGCGGTTAATGACCCGGAAGTCTCGCTCATAGGCTTATTTCCGCGCTGAAGAAAAAAAGTGAATATGAGGATTTATTACACATTTATTCTTGAATATATATATTGAATCTCTCTACATTATAAGTAGAATGTCAGTCTATTCTGATCCATCAACACAGTTTCACTGATGATCCAATACAAACCCAAAACCCAGAATAGAGCGGCTGAGTGAATGTGGTCTTGACTGTGTGGATGAGGCTCATTGTGTCAGAGACGCTGTAGAAGGACAGAGTTCCTGCACTGTGATCCACAAACACTCCTATTCTACTGCTGATGGACTTCACAGGGAGAGCAGTATCTATGTTATTGTGCCAGAATGAGTATCTGGAGGGAGAGCAGAACAAACTCCAGGACTGATCATTATATCCAAACAAACACTCATTACCATATCCCTTCCTGCTGATGTTCTTATATGACACTGATATATACACATCTCCACTCCACTCAATCTCCCAGTAACAGTGTCCACACACACTCTCTCTACACAACACCTGTGACCACTCATCAAATCGGTCTGGATGATCAGTATACTGGTGATCTGTGCCAGTGTTAGTAATCACTCTCTTGTTCTCAGACAGACGGAGTCGTTTATTCACTGTGTTCAGATCCAGAGTGAGCTGATGGGAATCTGATGGAGATAAAACACATCAGAATCAGGAATTATTAATCTGTTTGATCTTTTCATGTAGCTGAACTCTTCATGTTCAGTGTATCATCAGTGTCTCAGATGAACAGATATCTGTGCAAATCATCATTTATTAGGGCTGTCCCCTAATAGAGGCATAGTCGATCACAATTGTATTAGTCGCAGGGAAAAAAAATCCACAGAAAGTGGTGAAGTCAGTAGTCCGTGACGGACAGGTCATTAAGAGGTGGTCTATGTGGTAATTACAGCACATCGGTCAGGACTAGGGGTGTGCGATATATATATCGTCTGTGACAATATCCTAATTGTTGTTTTAACGATGTGTGATTTGACATCGAGTATATCGAAAAAACCAAGCAAAACACACTACAGAGTGCACACATTCATCATGTGAAGTGTAGCAGGTTAGACTAGTGTGCGTGCGCATTTACAGTGCGTTATTTCACTGCATGATTCAGTCTATTAAAAACATTTAGAATGATCACAAAAATCAAGACATGGGGGCAGAAAATTTATATATTTATATAATTTCATATAGTTATTATCTCAAGAAGAGTGCCGTTGTTCTTCTCCAAAATTTAGCATGATTAGAAATGTGATATTGATTTTTTAAAACGGTTCAATAAACAAGGAGTTAGTTAATATTAAGGAATTTACGTTTTAGACACCAGCAGCACTGTTTTGCGTCTCTGAGCAACATGACATGTTTCGTTCCTGAATGAATCAACCGTTTAAATGATTCGGTTCAGTTGCAATAACTCATCTATTAACAGTGACTTACTGCCTCCTGTTGACGGTTTTAATTTCACATTTAAAGTATTTTTTCATTTTCTTTTTATAATTTCAAATATCAGTATTCAACGTTTTATGTTTAATATATCAAAACATTATTTATGCATTTATAACTGCAGGTTAAATGGCTTTATAAAGATAAAAATGCAGTAGCGCTCACTGCAAGACCGGTGCGATCATTTGCATTTAACTTAAAATACTCCATCATTTTTGGTCATACAGATAAGAGTAATACATATTTTGAATGTGTTAAAGGTCTACTTTCATTTGTGTGCACTCACAATAACAACAAAACGTTGTGCTTTTGTAAAATAATGAAAGCAAACAGGGTGCACTTTCTTCCACCTAGGTCTCTGTGAACTTCAGCGCATCAAAAAATTTTTTTTAATATATATATCAACCGAACCT